CTCGATAAAAATAGCTTTTATATATATATATATATGTATATATAAAAAAAAAAAAGAAAAAGAAACGTTATTATTGCCAGACGTGCTCGAATTGGACTGTGGCCACGGAGGTTTAATATACTCGGCCATCTCTTTGTGCGCCCGCAAATATGCGACAGGAATACTGATATCGAATCGCAGGCGACATTCGAGAGCTCTCAATCGCCTAGCACCATTGTCGATACAATGCAGCCTCGATATGGATCGGTGCATTGTCCAATTACTCTGACGTGCTTGGTCGCATTGCTGATCGATAATATTAAAAGGTATATCGAGAACATTTCATCCAGACGAAGGGAGAGAGACAGCTTTATGATGGGCCGAGCTTATTTTTCTGAATTTTCATCCCTCGTCTACTATTTTTTCCTTTTTTCTTTTCTTTTTTTCTCCTCTTCATTTTTTTTTTTTTTTATTGGAGGAATTGTATTCGCCAAATTTACGATTCCCTCCCGTTTATTAGTTAATGCGAAAAGCAAATAGGAGAGAAAGTCCGATCTGCATGTAATTTATATTTATATTCGGGACCGATTCGATCTATATTTTTTCACCTGCCCGCATTGTGTCAACCCCTCTTCATCCCCTCTGATCCGTTTTTCCTCGCGTGACAATGGGAAGCTACTAATATGTCTTCTCCACAATCCCGCAATAAGGAAGGACATTTGCGATATTTTTTTTCAAGTTTATAGCGTTCGAAACGGAATGATGGAAGAACCGATCATCCTGAATCATACCTGAATCATCTCGAATAAGAATGGTTCCCCATTCACTTTTCTATCGTTACTCTACCTAAGCGACGGTCAAAAATTTTTCAAATTCGTCAACCGTTTATTTCAAACGAAAAAACAGAAAAAAGAAAAGTAACAATTAGTATCTAGAGTAAAAATCTCTTTAAAGAAGAAAAAATAACTGAATGACGAATCGAAATTAGAATAACTAGACAACAATTCAAAATGGAATAGATTATTACTTCCTGCTATTATTAACATTTTCCCAACCAACATTCCTCGAATCGATTATTTCTTTAATCATTATCTTCATTGATAAAAGAGGGTGTGACTCAGTTTTTCTTCTTTTTTTTTTTTTTTTTCTTTTCCTATCAATATCCGGCCCGTTGCATCGTTTTGCACGCAATTAGAGGGAATTTCAATGGTTCCGCTGCAGGTTGCCCGCGGAGTCGAAGAGTGAAAGTGTGTCACTCGTATTTTTCGTTTTTCCCGCAGACGTTGGTCTTGAGACTTTTTGACGTCACGCCGATACCCATTTCCGCGGCCCATTCACTTCACGAGAAACCAATTCTAATCCAGAGATCCAGATGGAACCCATCCAATTTATCCGAGAAGTCGAAGTTCGATCGATCGGTTGGAAAACAGGAAAGATTAAACGCGGGGTGGTTGGCGAGCGATGGGTTAATTACGATTGCTTCGTAGAAAGCAGACTTGCATCGATTCACGTTCGATCGCGATGGAAATTTTATCTCGACAAAAACGCGTTAATAGATTTATTATCACGAGTCATTATCGACATCTTCGATAAGAGATACCGTCGTATATGTTCCGTCCGTAGATTTTTTGCACTCTTCATTCCTGGATTATTATTAATACCACTTTATATTGCGATAATACATCAATAATCATCGTACGTGTTGTCCAGTTGATCGGAAGAAAGAGCAAAGTTGAAAATTAGCGTG